GCAGCTCTAGCATTCTGTCGCACATTGGGCACAATATATGTAATGAAACTCTAAGCTGTTGCCACAATACACTGGGTCACAAAAACAGTTTCATAATTACATCTTTATATATCCGGCGGAAAAGTCATGAGACGGGGCATTTGTATATCACATGGAGGCGAGGGGCAATTGGGCAAGGCGAAGGGTTCGGACGGCAGCTTCATTTTCTTGCTGTTAACATCTGCTTCCTTTTGCGGCAGGGGCACAGAATTTCAACCGCGTCTTAAAACTAGCTTTGGAAAGAAGAACCCGCCTTTCATGTTTATTTTATTCACAGTGCTTCATTTTAGGGTCAATAAATTCCTGCCTGTTCCTTGAAGAAGTTTAAGTTTACATTTCATGAGCATTTATCTTAAAGAAATGCACGTCTTTCACATTCATTACAGGTATGAGCAACAGCTAGAACACGAAGCAAAAGCAATTATAAACGATAAGCCGGAGACGCTGAATGTCAGCACATCTGAAGAAACCGACAAAACGCATCTTTCTAGAGGTCTAATACTTAATTCTGATGCTTAGATCAGCTGTCATTCAGCAGAGCACATTTGTTCGTTATTTGTTCACTCCTGTCATGGATACTCCAGTCAATGCAGCATAACTTGGTGCTGAATCTGTCAGCGATTTTGGCGTTTGCTTCCTAGTTTCCTTCAAGGAAAAAAAATTTTTTTAAAGAATTCTAAAATTCTTGAATTATTTCGCCCGATTTCTGCGCACACCTCACCAATATTGGGTGCTAATGTTGGGAATTGCTTACTGCAACTCTGAGCTGCAGAAAATCTGGAATGATTTCTATTTGTAGGCCGTGAGAAGAAGCGTGACGACGAGAAGCCAACTGGGAAACGTGATCGTTCGTTTTTCAGCGAGCTACGCAAACGGTTGAGCGGTCGAAAAAGTGCCAAAAGGCGCGCAAAGAGTTTTGATACTGGAACTGGTGAACTGGAGGAAGCCGTTTCACTGCCTCCCTCTCGTGATCAATCGAGGACACGGTTTTCGGGTAAATTACCTTTCTTCTTCAACAACTACACTATTTTCTGTTATTAAATTAGGAATAATTGTTATTTTTGCTTTGATTTTCCTGTATAAATGCACCTTTAGTTGCAATGCGTTAGCCTTTGGCAGAAAAATTAAACTAAGTCAAAATTAAAATCCCTTCCTGTAGAAACACGGACATTTGGAAGTATTCCGAAAGTAACAAGTGCAAACAACAACCACTCACTGGCA